CCTTATTAAAATGTTATTAGGTAGTTAGGAGGAGGCTGGCTGCTGGAAACATCAACGCTTCCAGTTCAATGAAACCATAAAGTCAAGTCAATCAGCAATCCCATGTGGCAGACCACCAAATGTATTTTATTTTCGCCAGCCACAATAGGGATAAATACTCCAGTTGAGTAATGAAATAAACACGCAAAGGGTCTGGTAAAATACCTGGTTGTATATGAGCAATTCACTGATGGCGCTGAGTGGAAGCAGCTGTCCGCGGTTTTATAGGGCACAGAGGCCGGGAATACAACAGTTTACGTCTTCAAGTTTGTTTTAACTCAGTTTTCTCTGCTTTTTTCGGATTTGCAGTTGTTAAACCAAAGTGTCAGTCTTGATTTTACCCAGAGCATGTCCCTCATAATGTATGCTATATGGTCCACAGATTTCTTGGGATATAGGACATTTATTTTCCTCATTCCCAAGAGTGTCAGTGTTTGATTTCAGTAATAGTCGGGAACTGATTGATTTTGTTATTTTTACTCATTTGTAGTCGATTAACAAGATGAGTTATTTGACCAGCAGCATATACATCAATTCATGTAAAAGTACTTTCAAGGGTTTCAGAAACAGTGCATTTTATTACTTTTTTGCATGTTAAAATTCAGATTTATTGTATGTTTATATAATATACCAACACAAAGTAGTGTTCAAATGATCAGTATTCAGCTAACAAATAAATAGATTTTGCCACATAATTTAAAGAAGCAGATGTTTTTCTTTAAAGCATAACTAATAAGCATATGATCTTTTAAAGTATAATTTCAGTAATTTTCCTTGAAGTAATTAGAATATGGAAATGGAGTTATTATGGAAATGGTAAGTGAAGTTATTAATTAAATTAAATTCAATTCAGTTTATTTATATAGTGCCAAATTCACAACACATGTCATCTCAAGGCAGTTCAACCAGATCATACAGTCAAATTGATTCAAAGTTTTCTATCTAAGGAAAACCAGTTGATTGCATTGACTCATTGACTCAAATACAATCCCTCACACTAAGCATGCTTGTAGCGACAGTGGAGAGGAAAAACTCCCTTTTAACAGGAAGAAACCTCCAGCAGAACCAGGCTCAGTGTGAGCGGCCATCTGCTGAGGCCGACTGGGGTTCAAGGAGACAGAAGCAGATATACAAAAAGCAGCTGTAGAAGGCGGCCCCTTCCAGGAAACACACAGCCAGGGCGACGAGCACCGAGCCAGCTCCCATGCCAGAGGATGAAGAGAGCACATCCAGTCAGTCACGGTCAGAGAAACAGGACCGCACTGGAAAACAATCCGATCTCCAGCATCTATAAACAAGGGTGTTGATGGAAGCAGCACAGCTGATGTTTCTCTCTAGGATGGAGTCACAGCCAAACAGAAACAGACGAGGCAAAGCTACTCTGAGGAAAAGCAGAGAGAGCAGAACGATAGAGATTGAACTAACAGATTCTGCAGAATAGGAGAATAGAGAGAGAATGAAGCAGAATGATGAAATAGGGGTCCCTACGTCCTCCAGCAGTCTAAACCTATAACAGCATTACTATGGAGATAGCTCAGAATAACAATCTTACACAGCTGTATTCTTATAAACTAAACATATATATGTGTTTTAAGTGACTGGCTCCTGTATGAATCACATTTTTCCTCATTTTTTTTTTCTTTTTGTCTTTTTCATAGGAGTTACAGACCGGTGGCAATTATCATTTTCCAGGTTGGTGTTCTTTGCCTAAAGGAGAATGTAACTCCATCCTAATTGTGTAAAAGGAAAGAAAAAGAAGAAAAAACATGCCAGATTCTCAGGAAGCAAAAAGTAGACCCTGAAGATGTGTAATTTTGCTTTGTGTGTGTGTTTGCCAAGACTGACAAGCAAGTTCAAAGAGAACAGCTACTTGTGGGCAATCCGGAGTGTTTGAAATTTGATGATCATTATGCTGATTCAATGCCTCACAGCAGCATCAGCGATTGTTTTGATTAGCAGAGAGAGCTTTTCTGAAGTAACCTTACGATCCCCAGCTACTGCTCACACACTTCATTGTTTAGCTAATGCTTTGGGAATTCTGGCACAACTACAGCACACACCCTGCAGAGCATAAAAGATGGATTAAAAAGGTGATCTCTGCCATTGGATGAGTCTTTGACAAAGAGATTACTGAGGGCGGGAGAAATGTCTCTCAGAATCAGAGGGATTTGTATTTTTCATTGCTTTGAAACAGTAAGTCGTACACCTTTGAATCAATTGTAGAGGATTCTTTTTGCAATTAAGTCGATTAAATAAAGATGTTATGTAGTAGCAAGTCAGTCACTGTGTTTGAAGGGAAGTATAATGGGTAGATAAATTGTATTCTAATTTTCCCCTACACCATTTTCATTATGAGGTCATCTTTAATTGACAAACTATAAAAGTTAAGATGTCACATTCAATACCCTTTAATTAAATGTATGAATAAGTAGAGTATCTAGCCTTTACTACCTTCCTTACTAACAGTAATGGCAGAAAAATGTCTGTCAAGTAAGATCTGCAATTGAATGCCTATGCCATTAAAAAAATATGCATGTGTTGCTGTTTTATTACATCTTGCAAGCAAATAATTAATATAATCCAAACGTTTGCTTTTTAGAATAATGAGAGAAATGTATTAAAAGTAAACCAATTAAAGAAAAACTGCAGTAAGAATATAAATGTCTCTATTTTAGAGTGTATTTACTGGATGATTCAAATCAAGTACTAAGTTAAAAAAAATTATGACCCAAAATAATCGTCATTTTACACAGGTGACAAGATGTACTGACATTAGTTTTACAATAAAGTGAATTGATTTACTGATGTCATCCTGTTTATTTTTAGTGAAAGTACTCATTACACAGTTATTCTGTGTTCAGCTGCATCAATAATGAACTGCTGCGGCCATAAATTAGTTGTACACAGTTTTTTCCGCTTATAAAGCTCCTCTGGTTTATTCCTTCTGTGTTTACTTTATTTTCCTAAGCAAAGTCATTGTTGGAGCTCCCTCTGCTATTAATCATGTGTTCATTGATTTTTTTATTATCCTTTCAGATAGCACGGACACAGTTTGAATTTTTCTTTTGCCTTCGTGTTTAACTGTGGCTCTTTTTTTTTTTTTGGATAAAGCACTTGATGGAGCTGCTTTTCATATATTCCAACTTTTTACTCTTTCTTTTATATTGGAAATATCCCTCGCATATTGCTTCCATTTTTAGCTTTTTTTCCAGAGCAAACATATTTCCAGAAAACAAACAACAACTACAGACTGAGTTCTTCTAAGCATTAACTGTTGGTACTCTCACACAGAAAGCCCCCTTGGGTCAGTGCTTCTGTGTTTGGCTTAAACATCTTTCCAGAAAGCAGCAATTAATGATAAAGTACATTAAAAAAAAGACAAAGAAGGAAACAATACATATTCCACCATACATCTTTATTAAGGTATGCTTTATGTACAATAATAATTTATATATACACAGTTACAATTTGATTCTGTGACAAGATTGTGTTTCTATACATTGTATTATACTTTATGTGCTACTGAGGTAAGATATTCAGGAATGGCTTCTTTATAATATATCAGAATAAAATATGTGAGGCAAAATTTATGAGAATAAACTAACAGGTATCGCTTTCGAAAAAAGGATTACAAAATAATAAAAGATTATCAGTTTTCCACCAAAATGCTGTCCTGAAGGAATAGAATATGTAATTTTGGAGCTTTAGATCACTACAAAAAGACAACATATTTAACGATTATGTGCATTCATATGTAAGTACAGGAGTCCAGCCCCAGGTTGTATTATAAGATGTAGCCTGAAAGGATTTGAAATATTGGAAACCTCTGTTCAGAAGAGTAATGGGGGTGTTATGTGGGCGCAACAGGGATCAGATTAAGATCAGCACCATTCCACAAAGAGATCAAAGAAATGTTTAGCTTGGACTTTGGAGCTTTTCGCTGGATTTCTGACACAAAATTTCTGAATAAATTAGAAGACATAATTTACGACTTCCCAACCGGTGGACACTTTGCCTGTTAGGTGTTTCAAAGACAACTGAAGTCTGGCCTGAGTCTGGTATGATGTTTATCAAAAGCACAGTTTCTGGACGGTGCACGCAACACCTAACCATCTTCATCTGCTTCTTAGAACTCACACAACTGCATATTGTTCTTGTTTAGTCTATTGGTCCCATAGGGGCAAGGGGAGAGAGAATCCTGTCTCAGCATGACTGAGCCAGCCACATAAGCTGAATAAGAGCAGGCAGTCAAAGACAAATGTAGAGCTACCTCCTTCAGAAGGATCTGAACGCTAGAACCCTGGGGGCAGTGAGGCCATTCAAGTCATTCCTGTCCTGGCATTGCTTTGCAAGATTTTTATAGCTAATCTCCAGGGTGTTTCAGCAGTTAAGTGGCCCTAAATGCTTAATTAGGTGCTGGAAATCACAGGCACTTTTCACCCGCTCTGTAAACCGCAACACTTCAGCTTATTAGGGGCATGGGAAGCCACACGCCAAATAATTAGGAATGGCGGCAATGCTAGACCACAAGATTGGGCTATAAGTGGACTTACAGGCAGTTGCACTGGGGGTGGTGTTGGTGGGGGGTGGAAACTTACAGCTCGGGACACTGTTGAGGAAATAACTGCTGCAAGTTTGTATGCGTGTCAAGACTGTGGACTGTGTTTTGGGGACATGTGGTCTCATGCAAAAATGCTGTGCTCATCAAGGTTACTTGAGCATTAAGCTCTACCTAAAATGAATGTACATTTGAGTTTTTTGGCATTTTGTTGTGAGGACGGTGGTTTGACTTTTCCATTTGCTACATCTGCGTGTCATCAGCGCCTCCAAACTTACCACACATATTGTATTTTAATCAGAGGCAAAATCCACAGTTGTTGTTTTGACATAAACATCATCTCAAACTACTTGCAAGGTCATAAAGCTGAAAATATCTCACCATGTTGTTGATTTTTTTTTTGTGTGTGTGTAAAAACAAATTCAACAGACACCACTGGCATCAACACATGCCCCGAATGACACTATTGAGCAAATTTTGAGCTGAGTGATGCTTAAGTGTTTCCATCTGGCCCTGATATTGTGTCCTAAGAAAGGAAGTCATATGATCTGACCTCCTTATGCGATGAAAGTACGGTCAATGGAGCAGTTATGAATGCTAACTAACACTGTGGTCAAACTAGGTCGCTTTCATTATGCAGACAAAAGCATCAGGTTACATAAACTGCTGGATGCAGCTTATGGTCTGGGAAGAAATCCACAAGTTCAAAAACAGTACAACTACGGCCCGGTCCCAAAATCACTCATAAAATCAAAATAGCATAAAAAAATAACCCATTATTGGCTGAAGGTGAACGAGGTGAAAAGAAAAATAATGAGTACCTCAATGTTAACTGACAATTAAATTTGAACATCATAAAAATGTTCTAAGACTTAGCAATTCAAGTTCAGAACTAAAACCCATGTATTTTCCAGTTTCATAAGTGTTATATTTCAAGAGTTTGTGTAAATTGTGAGTATGGCTTATATTATCCTCTCAAACGGTGACCCGTTTTAAAACGTTTAAAAATAATAACTCAGAATGCATGAAAATTACACTGGTAAAATTTTTACCAATATAGACATGTTAGAGATTGTTGGAAAGCTTAGATTATCAACAATTCAACCACCTAGTTCACTGAACTTGAATTTAACTTATGCAGTTTGGGTTTATTGCAGCTTGGGTGTTTTACTCACCCAATTTTCATGTATATATTCAAACACTAGAAGTTGTTAGTCTTCAAGGGCTTACAGTTCCTCAGTTATTAGCTTTTCCATTTGGGAATGCAAAATAGGCGCATTTCCCAAAAATGAGGTGGATATTAAGAGGTTAAAAGAAAGTAAAAACTTTTATTAAGTTGAGGTTTGATGATCAGTCATTGGTAACGAAGGAGTCTGTTCTCATAACGTAGTAACAAAGCCTGGTGCAGGAAAGTTGAGTGTCAGGAAAAAGTGTATTTTAGGCAAAAGATCGACCAACAGAAGTAAATACAGTATTGTTAAGACAATGATCATCTTTGAATTGACCTTTCCGGGTTTAGGAAAAAAAATGACAAGACTGTTACTGTGTCTTTTCATATTCTTTTTATCTAAATTAATTTTTGGATAGTCTGGAGAAGGAGAAAAGAAACACAGAATTCAAACTGCAAGTGACTGGTGATCTGCAAAGCAACCTTTTTTGCTGGTGTTGACAGCATTTTCTCGAGTCCAAATATATATTTATCCTCAAGAAAATGGTAGAGTCTGTTTTTGTTTCCCTGCTGATGATCTTTGTGGAAATGTTGAATTTGAATATCTAGCAGGACTTGGCAACTGCCCACACTGCCAAAAGTACCAACACCTGCTTAAACTTTAGCACTGTGCTTGGCTGACCAGTAAACTGGCCTGACCTAAATCCCATTATAAATCTACAGGTGTAAAGAGATGGATGGATGGATGGATGGATGGATGGATGGATGGATGGATGGATGGATGGATGGATGGATGGATGGATGGATGGATGGATGGATGGATGGNGGATGGATGGATGGATGGATGGATGGATGGATGGATGGATGGATGGATGGATGGATGGATGGATGGATGGATGGATGGATGGATGGAAATAGTATGTCAAGGTGCGTCCGGCGCAGAGGCTTTCACCTATTTCAAGGAACACATCAAGGTAAATCATAAAGACAGAAATTGAGTTTGATCATTAAATTCTTGCAGAGCAGAACCAAATGGAAATTGGAGACATTTTTGTACTAATCAATAGATTATATTGATAGGTACTCCCTCATACTTTCCAACAAAAATATAAAATACAAACATTTATTTCATGTTATTTGGACTCTTAGCTTTTTAAAAATTAAGGAATGTGGACAAGACGCCCACAGGCATTCTTCATGTGATGGGGGTAAAATGTACACTCGTATGCAGTGTCCCCTTAGTCAGTGACAACTCTGTCCTTACATAAATGTGTACTTAAAGATCCCCCTGTCTCAAGTCTTTGCTGCACCAAATCTTTAGACACTGGCACAGCGCTGGGAGGGAGACATGCACTGGGAAGAACACACCAACTGGCTGTGGAAGCTGTTGATACTTTGTCGGCCAGCGACTGCCACCACCTCGCTGGTTCCAAGCACGTCCACGCAGAGCGACTCCACAGCGTCCAGCCTCTCGATCTGCACCAGCCGAGTGAGGAGGTCAGGGATACTGTAGCCCGCCGTGCTCACTCTTTCAAAAAGCTGTAGGCCATCACTCATGCCGCCGATCTCATCACGCTTCAGGCCAAAACTCTCTGCCAGGTGCCTCCATGTCTTCACCACGGCCGCCTCACTGCTGTAGGAGGAGCTCAGCATGCGACTGGCCTTCTCTAGGCAGTCAAAAGGAAGCTCTGTAGGGCTCAGTCCTGAGAAGATGACAGAGGTAATGAGTTGTGGAGTTTTACCAAAAGGTTTATGTGAAGTAAGAGGCTGTAACTTGACTCAAATTGAGTAAATTCAAATGGTATTAAACATTTTACTACAGCAATGCAAGTTTTAGTTATAAGACTTAGTAGATAGCTTACCCTCAGTCACATGGCAGGCTCTAGCATACAACTCTAGTATCTTTTTTCTTCGACTCTGTAGCATCTGTGTAGGATTCAAGAAATAAAAAACATCTTTATGAGATTAAGAAAGGATCCTCAGTTGTAAATCTGTTCATAATCATATTCTGACTTTAGTACAGTCTTTAGAAAGCTCTGTCTTCCTACCCCTGGGGTTTTATTATTGTTGATCCCGTTCATGCTGCTGATGTGGTTGCTGGAAGCAACGTGGTTAACACTGTTGATGTGGCTGGGACTCTGGATGTTGATGGCGTGGCTGGCTGCGACCACCGGGGCACCATTGGATGTGCGGCCACGGTCCAGGAGTCCCAGAGAGAGCAGGGAGAGGTCAGATTTGTTGCCCAGGTCCACCAGGCAACAGCTGGGGTTGGGGGACGTGCTCTCGACCGATCCTTGCTTGTCTGATGCTTCCTCGTCGCTGTCGATGCTGCGACTCAACAGCTGCTCATTCTCTGACGATGCATCATTCTCACTACACAAACAAATAAACACAAATCGGTCTTATATTCATCTTTAGATATAGAATAAGAGTAAATTGTTGTTGCATTAGTTTATGATAAATTAATGATAATTGTTTGTAATAAGAAAATATTTGAATAGCAGGTAGATGTTTTATGTGATCTTTACATTTGACCTAAAAATGCAGCAAGAGATCGACTTGGGAGAAAAAAAATACAGGCGCTAACAGGTTTAGCAAATAACAACACTCTAGTTTGGACATTATACAATAGCAGAGGTTATCGTTGCATTGCTCTGATGTTGGAAAAGGAAAAGCACAAAAGTATAGGAAGCTTCTTGAACACAAACTGTTATTTTATCTGGAGGACTCCTCTTTTATTGAAATAAAGACTACAGCTGAGAACAGAACGGCTAAAAGTATCACAGCAATGCATTAATTTGAACCTTGAGTCCATCGATAACTTAGAAATATTGGCACATTTTGGAAGTTCCACAATAAAGCAGAATTGTACACAGAAAACGTTTACAGTTAGTGATGTTAGTAGGGCTACTCAGTCTTGTAAAGATACTATATGATGCTAAAGACAGTAAAAAAATATCAAATCTGTTATACTTTTGTTTTTGTTTGGAAATATTAGTAAAAATCTATTTAGCTGCAAACTGTATAACAATCAAACTTAAAATTCACACAGTGTGACGTCCAATATGCTAACATGAATAATGATCGGTAGCGATACAACAGTTGTTTAATAAACTCCTTTATTTGAATAAATAAATGATTTACCGTCTGAAAGGAGTAATTATTTTCCTTGGTTTTATGTTCAGTTTTTAATGTATTCAATAAGTAGAAACATTCTTTCTACTTAACATTCTTTATTATTAGAACTTACTAATAAACCAGAATCAATACTGTAGCAAACTTGAACTACTCAAAAATCTGAACTTGGCCTTGAATGTGGCTCTTCAACTTTTACAACACATCTGTAAAACCCATTCTAAGAACAAATGTGAGAGGATAATGTTTAAAAAAAATTAAGCTGCTTAAAAACCTTTCCTTGTACAACACAACCCCATATGTTATAATTTTACCAACAATCCTCTATCTCTTTCTGCCTACTCTGGATTTTCTTGTAAAAGCACCTTGTTGACAGCGATGCACACTGCATGCTATTGTTTCCATGTCCAAGGCTCTTTCTTCCCAAGCACACATCCACACAAAATGCCATTGTTTCTCAGATATCTAACACCCTCTCTGGCAACTAATGTGGTGAGTTAACATATCCTCTGGCATGCTGGTTTACAGCACTATTGCCTGCTGTTGATGAAAAAGCTAAGATGTGTGTGTGCATCATCTTCAATTAATCACATTTTAAAGCATTCATCCTAAAAGCATTTGCATAATGAAACATATTGCTATGCAGACATAAAAGGTCTCCAGATGTTCACCATCCTCTCTGCGCATTCACTTTCAGCGCCTATAAAGCAGCATTGTCCTAAAAATGAGGGTTTGATGGATGTGTAGAGAAGGTAAGAAAACCATCACTCTTTTGTTGTCTGCAAGACATGCTTTCACCTGATGGTGGTTTTATGTGAAGCTTGGAATAAATACCCCTATGCACCCTGGCAGCTACCCCTCTTTCTCAGCTTTTTTATGCTTCAGGGCTTAAATGTGCCGTCTTACCTCATAGCCTGCACCAAAGCCACATAATGGAGCTGTCTGCTTTATTACTTAATTTAAAAAAAAGTCAACTGATATTATTTCACGACACACTTCACTTCTTTACCAGCAGACAGAGGAAGAAACGCCAGGGGGGCAACAGCCAAATTGCTGCAAAGGCTTGTTTTTTGGCAGTTTAATTATGGGCAAATTGGGATAAATTATGGTTTTGTGCTTAGTCCCGTGTCAGGATTATAAATTTAGCATGTACTGTATGTGATCTGTTAACTGTAGATGTACATTTTTTTTGTTCTCGTTGGGTAAATCTGTATCTAAAAGCTGAAAGCAAAGATTTGTAAAAATTAGAAATGAATAACTTTAAAGTTTTGTACTTATTTTGACAAATCAAAACAATTTGAGTCTTCTTTTAAAGTGAATGTAAATTGTGTCTGCACTTTCCATCTAGTTTTACCTAAGGAATCTACAGCATGCAATCTATGATCATTACGAAGATTGTATGTGTTTTTAGTCCCGTGCAAATCAGTCATGTCAGAAGTTTGCACAGTAAAAATCTGCTGTTAATTACCTACTTTATATTGCAGAATTCAGAAGTATTGTGATAACAGTAAAGAATGGGGACTGCCATGGAGAGTTTGGAAAACCTTTCGGTTGCCCAGACTGTGTGAAAAGGGCTCTATTTATCAAGGTGAGCAGTATATTATAGTAGCTAACAGATGCCACGTGGACAATATCTACATGTTTATCGTTGTTCTGTATACCTGAGCAGAATAACTAAAACTTGCAGATTATTTTAGAGAACTAGGCCAAAAAAAAAAATGCTTTTTAGCTTTCCAGCATGGAGCACTACAGTAGATAAAGGTTTTCTCTCATTAGGTTTGTACTAAACCATGTAGGAACACAGACCTTCATTTTCTTTTAATATATCCTGGGGTTTTATTAAACTAAATCTGAAGTGTTTGGAACTAATGACTAAGTTAGATTTGAAGGGAATAGGGGGAAGCCTGTAAGCTTGACAGCACTATCTCCCCTGAGAAGCATGGGTTTGTTTTGCTGACAAAAAAGACTGTTGCACTAAGATGATATCATGGAGAAAGTAAATTATGTAGAAATATTGAAGTAGCATCTCAGGACAACAGATCAGTTAAGTTAAAGCTTGGACATACAGTAAGTGGGCCCTAAATGTGTAAATGACCCTTAGCATACACAATAGTTTGATTGAAATTTATCCCATAAATGTAAAATGACCCTTAGCATACCATTATGTTTGGTACAGTGGCTTACAGTGGTTTGACATCACAAAGCTCTGATCTCAGTCCCAGAAAAACCTTTTAACATCAGTTCTGACATGAGGGCCCGATGGCGCCAGTGTACGGCAGCCTCGCTTCTGTCAGTGAGCCCCAGGGCAGCTGTGGGTACAACACAGCTTGCCAACGTCAGAATGTGAGTGTATGTGTGAATGGGTGAATGACTGAATGTAGTGTAAAGCGCTTTGGTCAAGTCTGCTGACTTGAAAAAGCGCTATATACTGTAAGTACAGGACATTTACTATTTATGGGGAATGGGCTAAATTTCAATCAAACTATTGTTGAAAAGCTTGTGGAAGGAGATCAAAATATTTAACTGACACAGTTCTGCTAAATACTCATGATGACTGTAAGATGATAACTGTAATGGCATTGAGGACAATAGAAGAAATGTTTGTATTCATAACTGACTTAAAACGACAATTTAGTTTGATTTAATGGTAAACAATGTCAAAAAAAGAAGAAGAAAAATTAAAATGTGATTTCAAATGAAAATACTCGTTTTGACGCATCTAATTGAGTTTTGACCCAATGAGATGCTAAATATTAAGAAAAATAACCTAATTTCATACAGACGGTGAAAAATAATCTCTCTTTAGACATTAGACGTTTCTCTCACCTTTTCACTGTCTTCTGAGGAGCCGCTTTCAGTTTGTCATACTCGTCCTTCTCCGAGAAGATCACCACATTGTCTGTGAGATGGAAAAAAAAAATAAGGGAATGAGCAAATAAACAGAACTAAAATACATGCAGCTAACAAAAAAGAGCAGATTTCTTAGGGTTAACCTTTCTTGCACTGAATAATGCCAGTAGAATAAACATATAAAATGATTACGGTAAGGATTATGATAAATTACACTGACATCATGGCTACTGATAGGGACAGACAGCCTAATGAGCGAGTATCTGTGAAGGAACAAAGGGTCTCTGTTTGTATGTGTAAGTGTGTGTAATTTAAGTTTAAGTGTCTGTGTCTTTCATCTCACAGGCTGATTATGTCCGTGCCTACATGAGTGACAGCTAGCTCTAGTAGAGCTCCCAGAAATAGGCTGCACTCCCACATGCAGTCACCGCCATGTACAACGATGCAATGCTACCTAACCATGTAACCATTCAGCCCTTCTAAAGCTGATAAACTGACAACACCATTGTGTTCCTTCAGCTCTTTCATTTTTGAGTTATATTAAGTTTGTAGTGGGGGTAATTAAAATGTGTGTGTGTAAGTGTTTTCCCCTCACACCACATTGAGGTGGTTAGTCAGTAAATCTGGGAGTGAAATTGAACAGAGCATCATTGTGAGAAGAAATGGCGCCTAAAGCAACATATGGCTTTAGCTTTGGAAACTTCACATTCCATCACGATACACTCATCACCCCGCATGTCTGTCAGCCTACAGCACACACAGACAAGCACGCATGCAAAAGGAAAGCGCAAACCCGCACACACGCATTGGCAAACACAATGAGAGAAACGACCAATAAAAGCACCATAAAAAGGAAACTCTTAATTTTTAGGCACTAAAATGATTCAAATGTGAATCAGACACCAAATATGATGTTAAATTCTTTAATTTGGTGTCTGATATTTTGATTTAATGTTTTTTCAGTCATGTTTAATCAACATTCCTCAAATGCACTGTCCAGCAGATAACAGTAAGGCTGTCTTTATGTTACTCTTAATAAATAGACAGAAACACAAAGCCTGTCTCTATACCAGTTACCATGTCTGAGTTTGTATTTAATGACTCCTGGTTTGTATTTTGTTAAACTATCTTAGCCAAAGCCCTAATTCCAAAGCCAAACATGGCAGAAGATTAACTACAAGTCAATCATTAATATGCTTCAATAGGCTGAATTAGTAATCAAAATATAATCTAAATAGAAGTAAATATCTGTGATAATGATTGTAGTTGAGGAGGTTTTCATGTTCATGCAAAAGTTTAGGATGGATCCAGATATATTTCTAAAGCTACAGTAAAGAATGCTAACAAGCTAAGCTTTTTAATCTTGAGGGAGTGGCGGCTATTAAAGGTTTATTTTGACTGTTGGCAGGAACAACGACCTCATGGGAATGGATCTGAAACTTGTGCTGCAACATTTTAAGCCATATCTAGCTAAACAACAGCACCCATGCTAAAATTACACTTGAAACCCAGCTGGACTTCTTAGTCAATTACTTTAAAAAAAAATGTATGCCTTGATTATAAACCAATTCTATCATTTAAATGATGATATTGATCAATATAGTTTACAAAAATTTAAGCAAGTCTATTTAACAGTGTCATACCAGCACACTTTTTAACAATCCTATTGTCTTAATCAAGAGTGTCAATAATATTTGATGAAAATACTCCCCTCATTGCACCAATCCTATCATGCTCCTTTTTAGATGTTAGTTAGTTAAGGAGAAATAGGTTTTAACTATAAGCACTAATGCAGACCATTAAATGTTCAACTTTCATAACTTCATCTCCTGCAAAAAAAAAAAAAAAAAAACTACAAGAGTGAAACAGAGCAAATAAATGTGGTCACATTTAAAACAAGGAAATAAAACAAATCCAGCAAAATGTTCTGTCAGTTAAATCAGTGAAAGGTTATTTTAGAAAGCCAGATCAAAGCACTTAAAAGGGTTTTGAGACGATGCTGTAATGAGTTCAAAATTGACCATATGGGCAAAAATGTGGAAAAAGTTCAAATTATGTATACTTGTATGTAATAGAATTACTAGGTTTTTTCGTGTTAGCATGGCAAAGGGTAATCAAAACCAGGATGAGGTTTTTACCACAATACATGTTTTTATGTAGACAAACTTTTTTTGTTGTTTTTACAACTAAAGACTTCCGATCATGACAAAGGAAAAACATTAAAACTAGTAAAAACAGTGTCTGCCTTTCATTCATAGGGATATTTGTGCAGCGTGTCTCACCAGGGACATCTTTCTTGTCTTCCTGTTTGATGGTTTGGGCCTCCACGGCTTTCACAACTTTGCCAGAACAACATGCTGAACAGATAAACATAGACAGAGGGAAAATGAGCGCCATAAAATAAAAAGCCTTCAAAGTGAAACTGCAATTTTTTCTTTTGTGCTCCACTCACCTTGGCCACCCGGCTTTGCCTTCAGGATATAAAACATTATTATAAGAACTATGGCGATGGCCATGATGAAAATGGTTGACATGGCGATAATGAGTGCTGTGGCTAGATGTCCTTGTCCAGGTATTTCTAAAGAAGGCAGACAACAATGTATTTAAACATGTGGTGGACAAAGAGGCACCTTCTACCAAAGTGATTGGACCCATACCTTTTTTTTGATGGGGGAAGACAGTGGTGCTTTTGGAATCAATCAGTGGATTTGATTTTGGTTCGTCGGTTTGCATACCTGTAAAAAAATAAATAAAAATAAAAATATTCACACACAGATTCATGTTACATTTCCTGACAACTGGCTGTTTTTTCACTAGTTTAAATCTTCTGGGAAACAAGAAGCTACCTGGAACACTGGGAATACACCTGTGCAGATCTCTGAACTTTTATAAAACCGGGACAGATTTTTGTTGCAAGCATCAAGGGAGACTAGTTATTACGGGTATATATGTTATTGTAGGTGTTAAAATTTTACATTTTGTTATATACACTGATCCTGAAAAAAAGTGGAAAATACTTGCTTCATAATTGTTTTGTGGCCATCAAAATGCTTCAGTGTTATTCTATGGGTCAAATAGTTGAGTAAAAGCATTATGCACAATTTGGCACGTTTGGAGAGATTCGAAGGTGCTGGTGACACCAAAAGTTCAAAGTTCCGCAGCTCTGAACCATTGTAGCTACAGTAGAGGTCTGAAATTTTTCTGCATTTGCGGTTGACATCATGTAGAACAAAGGCAATCCAATTTTCGAGAATAAAAAAACAACAAATTTGAGTCATGTTCAAACTGATGCAGCTTTGGCTGTGTTTTACTCACCCACCTAATTTGGGCTTACTATTCCTAAGTTATTTGTTTTTTCATCTGGGTATGCAAAATAGGCAAGGATCACTTCAAATTAGGGAGTTTTAAGAGGTTCACAAGCTCTGTGAGAAAATATTCTCTAGGCTAAGGTGTTGAATCTGAGGCTCAAACTTAGGAGTTTCGACTCATCCAGGCTTTAGTACCATGCACCAGTTTATAGAGGACTGGTTTTTCTTTGTTTCCCAGTACATTTAGACTCTGCCAGAGCTGCTCCTTGGATCTTAAAGATGTCTTAATCTCAAGATCTCCTCTTTGCAGGTAATATTGTTCTTTTGGTGTCATTAACCTCCTGTGCATTACAGCTGACTGTAACGCAACCTGGACATACATACTTCTGAAAAAGCCCAATGCTGAAATACCCCAAAAATATATTTAAAAAATATTTAAAAAATAGCTTTGTATATTTGATAATAACTACAGCAAAAGTTGTGAAACCCATAATTAAGTAAAGGTATGCATTTCATAAGTTTTTATCACTGTTATCAGAAGGCAACTGTAACACTGAGGATGCAATAATCGAGATTGTTTTGGAGAGACACTGGCTCATTATACACATATAATACACTGATCCCAATAAAAAATGCATTTAGAAAAACAAGGATAAATATTCTTTGAGGAGATCTTCAAAAGCCCCCCTTTGCTAACATCATTGGAATGAATCATGTTGAGTTCTGAGGCTGGCTCAGAGCTCGTCTGCCTGGCTGTGTGTTTCCTGGACGGGGCCATCTGTGAAGCTGGTTGAGAGTTGCCTTTTGTATCTCTGCTTCTTTCTCTATGTCTGCTTCTGTCTCCTTGAGCCCCAGGCGGCCTCAGCAGATGGATGCTCACACTGAGCCTGGTTCTGTTGGAGATTTCTTCCTGTTAAAGGGACTTTTTCCTCTCCACTGTCGCTACAATCATGCTTGGTGTGAGGGATTGCCTTCCAGTCAATGAGTCAATGCAATCAACTGGTTTTCCTTCTATAAAAAACTTTGGATTAATTTGACTGTATGATCTGGTTGAATTGTAAAGTGCTTGAAAAGACGTGTTGTGAAATGGCACTAAATAAATAAACAGAATTTAATTTAATTGAAACATGTGGCCTACATCAACATAACACAACATACTACAAGGGATGTAGTATTACAAAACATACCTAAAGAAGGTTTAAAAGTCTACATCTAGATGTATATCCTGTTAAAAACAAAATAATGTATTTGTCCACAAACAAAATCCCTTTGCTCTATTAAGAAAGCATCTATTGTAGTTTAACATTCTTTCTAATAAAACATTGTTTGGCTTGCAGAACAAAAAGAAAGAGAAGATAAAGAAATTCCCTTTCAGTCCAAATCTTGGCCAAGGCTCTATTTTATTGGGTCTTCAGTGGCCTCAATCCCTCTCTCTAAACAATTCATTTCAGGAGATTGTGTATAATTTAGCTGACAATCAGACTAATGCCTTTGTGCAAGAGGTGTCATCATGGCCAGATCAGGGATCGGGAAGAATGCGAACTGAGAGAAGGATGTGGAAAGGCGGCCTCAGGCCAGAACTCATGGGTCAGAGCACACCCGCCTCCAAGGTCTGCCTTTGGTTTCCAGCTGTGTTTATTAACATTTGCAACTGCATTCAGACAATCAGCAATGTTTCAATACTAACAGCTGGCATTTATGAATCCAGTTTGCAAAGACATTAACAAAGTCTGTTTGTGATGGTGTTTATAAACTGCAGTTGGAAATGGAATTTACAAACACTGATCTCATTTTATACACCTTCTAAATTATACATAAAGGAAGTTTATAGGAGCAGTTATCTTGTTGGCTTAAGTCAGCTTCTTTATTCTTTGTTTTCCTGAGCTGATTAAACTACACACTGGAGCATTTTATTTTATTTAATATAACTTATAATGGTAAGATTCTGTTGGATTTTATTTTCTTCTATACACCAGGGAACTTCTCTGAGTGTGTGGTGTG